GCAAGAAACTTACTTTTTTGCCAGCCCATCCTCACTAATGTTGCATCACCTAAAGCATTCAGCCTCTACTCTCCCCCCAAGCTAGCCAAGCATATCAAGTGTGCCTGCAACACTCACAGCCTAATGAACAATGCACAAAAACAAAAGTAACAGCAAGACTCCTATTATCTGATCTTCCGTAAAACACAAAAACTGCCTTCTCTGCTACAGAGGAAGTGCCAGTAAGCCTGCAGGTGTGAGCCAGTTAAAAGAAAAGGCTTTGGCTAAATAGATTCTTTGACTGCCAGGGATTAGAGTCATGGCACCAGTGGTAACACACATCTTTTCCTTTAATTTACAAAATTTTCTCACGAGTTTGCAAGAGTTCACCCCATCAGGGGCTTTCTGAGGCCATTGAAATGTCTTAAGTTTTAATTAAGTTGGAGTTGTCAGAAGAAAGCTTTTTTGGCACAGAGTCAGGGTCATTAATTACCGCTATCTTTGTTTCTTTCAGAAAAAAGAACTCTACTGACTTGTTGGGTTACTTATACAGCCTACATTTTCTGTCCTGCAGTCCTTATTCACCTCCAAGCAAGGCTTGATTAAGCAGTTTACCAATTACTTCCATCAATCTGATTTACAAATCCTATGGGTAATCTTAACTTCAGAAGCTTTTCTCTCTGCTGATTTGAGGTACAGTAGTAATGAAAGCAGCATTACTGTTAGAACCAGAAAGCATTTTAAAGTTCTAGAGTCTCCATCCTAAATGGTACTTGAATCACATTCCTGATTTTATTGTTTCGTACCCATCCTCTTATATGCTTGTAGCTGTCAGTTATTAGCAGACACACTGAATAAAACTAAGCAGAATAAACATAATTCCCTTCATATCTTGCAGTTGTGAGGTTAAAGTTCATGTTGTCTATCACTCAAATAAATAGCCCCAAACAAGCTAATATTCAAATCACAGGACATGGTCTCTGCATTTAATAATAGTAGAAACTTTACTGCTAAGTGTCATTTACTGAAAAATGTAAAAGTTCACAGTAATTACTTAAAATTGTTACCCTGTAACAATTATTCACTGGTCTAAGAAAGACTGACTTGTAGGCTTCATTTCTACCAGAAACGTTCATATCATAAAAAAGCCAACACCTTAACTGGCACTAATTTGCTGCTTCATCAGAGTCTGAGATATGGGGAATGCACTGTCTCCCTCATTCCTAGAGATAACAGCCTGGAGGCTCAGTGTGAAATATAATATTATATAGCAATATGCTATATATCTATCCCATGGAAAAGTGAAGATTTTGATTTCCAAGCCTGTCCATTCTTTGCCTCTGGTGATCACTGACTTCAGATGCATACACAATTAACATATATTCCTCTAAAACAAATACACCAGGGTTTGATAGTTATATATTTGCAGATGCCTAGTAAATTCTTGGGTTTATATAAAGTATTTTTCATAAATACCATTATTAGAAGCCTTGATAACTATATATCTTCCTAAATATACCACTTGTTCATTTGAATGGTTTGTTTTATCAAAACCCTTAAATTCCTTGAAGCCTGCAAAAGGCCTATGTTAAACACATATTTTGTACTGTTTTTAATAAAAACATTGGCAAAATAATGTTTTTTCAGAAACCCTGACTTGGATTTCTGATTTATGGAGTAGATTTTACCATTCTGAGCTACTCAGCTCAGCAAGTGGTTGCTCAGAGACTGCAAGACTTGAAATCTCTGTGGCGTAGTATAAATTATTTTGATCTTCCCTTGGGTATTTACTTAATTTCTCACCCATTTACTGTACTTCGCATAAAATGGCAGAATCGAGATAGAAACTATTAAAAAGCTAGCAACACTACCAAGAACGTTAACCAGCTCTGGGAAGTTAAGATACTTGCAACGGAGGCAATCTGCTGTTAAAGGAACTACTTTGCTTCTATGCATTACATTTCTGCCTGTTAACTCTGTTTCCCAAATTTAGTATCGAAAATAAGAATCTCATAGAAATTATGATGGCTATTTAATCATAAAATATTGAAAACTGGTACTACAAACTGATTACAAAATTGTGGTGAAACTTCTTATAAAATAGCCATCTTTTTATTTGTGGCATTTTATTTGGAACAATTTTATTGTGGCACTGATTGCCAAAGCATCATGGAATTACATCAATCCTTGTTACTGTTTTCATTTTTTCACCTTAGTTAAGATCATGTCTAACACCAAAAGCAATCCAGCCAATTTATTTATGTCTACAGGATGAATCTTTACAGGGAAACATAGCTGTCATCATACCCCTGAATTCTTTCTTTCCACATACAATCCCACTGTCACCAGCTTAACCAGTGTATACCTGCAACTTCTTGCTGAATTGTTTTTGAAGTGGGAAACTGGGAGAACCAAACCTCAGGGTCATGGTCTCCTACCCTTAAGTTTTTCAGGCTGCAGCTACCAACAGTGTGAGTTATGGTACCTACAGCACTGGGAATGGACACTTTATAACTGGGCTGGTTTTTCTCTCTTCTAATAAGGACTTCACCCAGCCTTTTCAGAGCTCTAGCTTACTTTTATTATTTTTCTTCTGTAGTTGAACAATATCTTTAAAATCAATCTCTCTGTTTAAATAAATACACACAGAAATAAATACACTAATAAGAAAAGACCTACTAGGCTGGCAGTATCAAAAAGCCCTTTAAGAGGCTTACATGTTTTACTCTGCAGCTAAATGTGCAATTCTAGAC